CCAAAGAGGCCAGAGGTAAAATCCGACGAGGCTCCTGCAAGTGGTCGCGGTTCTAAGTCGCTGCAGGCGTTCTCGGACAAGTACATCGCCGGCGAGGTTGCCCACCCGTCCGAGGAACAGCTTACCGAACTGGACGAGTGGCTTGATGACAACGAACCCAGTCATGACCCCAGCAGTGGCGTGTTCATTGTGGAAGGCGATCTACCGCCGTACTTTGTGGACCCGAGGAAGCACATGGCGCAGTCCGAATATCAGCTACCGAGGCCTACATCACGTTACCGGATCGGTTCTGGAGGCGACTCTGTTGCGCTGAATAATGCTGGCGATGGATCTATGAATGACGCCGGCAAATATGCCGGCAAATATGCTGGTGATTACGCCGGTAATTATGCTGGTAATTATGCTGGCAACTACGCTAGGGCTGATGAGGACGACTACGGTCGGGAAGAGCACGACTACGCTGGGGAAGAGGACGACTACGCTGGGGAAGGGGTGGAGTACAGCAACGTTCAGCCTCGACCCGGTCTCTCTCCTGGCGGCGGTCACTTCGGTTCAAGTCCCTTCGGTTCAAGTCCCTTCGGTTCAAGTCCCTTCGGTTCAAGTCCCTTCGGTTCAAGTCCCTTCGGTTCAAGTCCCTTCGGTTCAAATCCCTTCGGTTCAAATCCCTTCGGCTCAAGTCCTTTTGGCGCTAGTCCTTTCGGCGTAAGTACTTACCGCGGATACTCCGATAGTCCGTACAGCCAGTACGAGCCTTTCTCCAGACCCCTAGAACAACAGTCGAAAGGCGCCTACCGACACGACTTCCCTACTGCCGGCTTCCGGCCGGATACCTATGCCAACACCTATGGGGCTGATATCTACGCGGGCAACACCTACGGAGCTGGCGCGTACGGAGCTGACACCTTCGACCATATCCATCGCATCGACCGGCGCGACGGCGAGCCGAAAGCCACCGACGGGGAACCTTTCGGTTTCACACCCGGTCTCGTCCGTCCGAGTGTCGCTTCGCTCGTGCGCGTTGTGGGACGGGAGCCATACCTGAGTGCGCCCCGAGTATATCCCGTTGAGGAGCCGCCGAGCGACCTGGACCTCTTCGCCAACCACCCCTCCGCCATACACCAAGTCAACATGGGTTCCCTGGTCGCCTCTCCCTTCAGCGCCGGGGACGCGGAATTCTATTACCCCAAACGCAGCGTCCTGTACGGAGCTTCACCCCCACGCCGTGGCTCAGACCGAGACCCTCGCCCAGACCGTCCCGATCGGGAGGCGAGTCGTGAAGGGCCGACGTCGTCTACTCGCGCCGCTGCGACCCGCTCCTTCTCCACTCGAGGAGGCCGCGACGGCGCTACCAGCGGCTTTGCAGCTGAGGGTCGACGGCGTCCCGCAGACGGCGGGCGCCCTGTAGGGGGTGGGCGTCCTATAGACGGCGGGCGTCCTGCAGACGACGGGCGTCCTGCAGACGGCGGGCGTCCAGTAGAGGGTGGCTTGGAGGTGCGGTTGCCGGGATTGCGGCGACTGACGGAGGCCGCGGCGGCGTTGTGTGGTTTCGCTGGCGAAGGGTTGCTGGGTCGTTATGTAGCGACAGTGAACGGCGTAGCGGACTTGGTAACTTGCCAGCAGCAGTGCCAGTTGTATTCGGACCCTGCGCTGGTTGCGGGTTGTCGTGAAGCGGCGGACGGGGTCACGGTCACGAACGCCACCGTGTGTGTGGCAGTCACCTACTCCAAGGTCGACGGCCGTTGCACCTTGCTCGGAGACGTGAAGGCGGCTGTCGCCGCCAACGACTTCGACAGCCTCCCCGTCGCCTGTAACTCCGCTTACAACACTGCGCACAAGTCCGAGTCGGGTACCAACACGCTGGGATCTGAGACGAATGAATCGGAGTCCAACTCGTCGCCCAACACATCTGGGTTGGGCAGCGACGGATCAGACGCGGCGGGGGTACCGTTCCAGATGGAGGCTGAGGCGTTACGTGCGTTGCAGGCGGATGGTGAGGCGTGGCGATGCGTGACGGGTGCTGGGTTGTCGCCAGTGGCGGCAACGCTGAGTCAGATGGCGTTTTCGTCATTGGGGGAGGACTTGTGGAGCGCGTCACAGGAGGCCGCGACGCGTTTAAGGACGGATGTGGCGCAGGTGATTAAGGCGTATCCGAGTCTGCCGGAATTGAACACGACGCGCGTGACACCGGACTTGACGAATGTGCGCGAAAATGTGTTCTATCAAGTAGGCAACGCACTTGCTCGGCCACACACTATGACCGCGGCAGGCACGCCTTTCGCCTTCCCGCGAGGTGTCCAAGATTGGCGTGAGTGTGCGCTGCTCTGCGACGTAGCGCGGAAAGATTGCCAAGCCTGGACATTCGTCCAATATCCTAACACCCAAGATGGCGCCTGCTACCTGGCCTCCACCGACCTCTATCCTGCCGTCGTAGGACCAGACAGCGGACTCACTGTCATCGGCGGTACCGCATTCGATGAACTACCCACTTACCTCTTTGGAAATTCAAAACGAAGACAACTCGACCTCGCCAACGAACCACTCCTCGCCGCCAGCAACAACCTCTCGGCTGCTCTTAGCGCCCTCACTAACTCGAGCGCCTCCGGCACAGCTTCCGATACTGTTCAAGACACTTTTAGTGGCTCGTGTCACTTCGTCAACTACCCTGGTTATTTATTCCGAACTGGGAACGATACGACGTCGACCACATTGGGCTCAAATCTTTACTCGCTGGCAGCGACGGACTTGACGTACTGCGCGCAGGCGTGCAGCGTCACGACGGCCTGTGTCGCGTACCAGTTCATCCCGACCGCAGTTACGAATCTTTCTCCAGCTTTACAGCGTATTTCACAAACAAGCTGTCTGCTGTTCTCCGACTTGGGAGCGGCCCCTATTCTGCACTCTAGCGATCCGTTGATAGGGTCGGGCTTCATCTCGTGTGGAGGCGATGGAGCTGCGGAACAGCGAGAGGCGGAGAAGCCGATTGCTCAAATGATCGCAGCTTCCGCCACCCGACTACCTAATACACTACAGCAGAGATCCATCGCGTACCAACGAGAAGTCCGACGCACTTGCACTTCGTCAGCACCTTGGGCCGAGGGCTATTCCCTCAAGGGCAAGCTCCTCTCCGACCAAGCCAACCTCATCAAACAGATCCAGTCGTCCAACGCCTGCGATGACTACTGCAGAAATGTCCAAGGCTGCGAGGGCTGGACCTACGGCACCACATGGGGCTCCTGCTATCTCTTCCAGTCAGCGGATGAGTATGTCCGTGACGCCGAAACGGTTAGCGGTCAAGTCAAGTGCGTCCGAAGTCTCCAGGTCTCAAGCTCCGACCTCTCAAGCTCCGACCTCTCAAGCTCCGACCTCTCAAGCTCCGACCTCTCAAGCTCCGACCTCTCAAGCTCCGACCTCTTGAGCGCCGAGCGGGAGGCGGAATCCGTGTGGGAATCCGAGTCGACCGAGCCTGAGCCGTTGACGGACGTGGGCGAGGTACGGTCGCTTAAGGATTGCGGGCGTCATCGCATGAATGGGCTGTATCGTGATGGGATCATTCTTGCGAGTCATACGGACATTGACAATGCCGATCAGTGTTTCCGCAAGTGTCGTGAATCGCATGGCTGTAACTACATGTCGTTCATTCCGGAGGGTGCGACAGTGAACACGGCTTCGACTGAGCCTACGGTAACGCCTGCGTGTATCTTATTGCGGGACGTGAAGGACCCTAGTTATACACTGAGCAGTGTGGGTACATATGCGTCGGAGATGATTTGTGACGCGACGGGTACGGCTTTGAGTAAGGAAGGTGGTCGTGATGATAAGGCTAGTGGTGGTCCCGGTTTAAAACCCCTTTGGGTGGCGATCGGCAGCTCCGGTGGTGTGGGATTGGCGGTAGTGGCAGTGTTGGTTTACCTTCGCAAAAAGGGCTCTGATTCCGACTTGGACTCCGATTTGTCTAGCGACTCGGAAAGCCAGTCATTTGAACCCACCGGCGAGCAACTCCTGGCCACCGAACCCCCCGCCGATTTCCCCTCCGAGATCCACTGCGACGTCGAGGAACGTCCCATCACCGCAAAAAATGCCGTCATTGTCCGCTTCGCGCTCGAGACTGATGAGTCACCGGATAGTGCCAGAGAACCTGGCAGTGAACCTGGTACCTGCATCACTATGCGCACTGAAAGCAACTATAGCCCAGACACCGCCACTGCCCGTAAGCCGGCCTGATCCTGAACGCTTATCCTGAGTCCTGACCCCTCACACACCCGACCCCAAGTCCTGACCCGACGGTTCTGCAGACCTGATGGATCGGGAGAACTTGGAAGGATTCCAGCGTGTAGAACCGCTCACCGGCCGGACCATAAAGGGCTAAGTTGAACGAGCCGTATGACGGGACGGTCAACGGATGGTTCGTAGTGGAAGCAGCACTGGTATTTAATCACATAGCTAGCTCTTTTGTACAGACTGACAGACATCGATCTGTTGGACAGACATCGATCTGTGAGTGAGTGTTATCTGTCGGGTGAGTGCGTGCTGGTGGGTGAGTGTAAGTGGGAAATGTCCCCCCCACGAGAAATGCATGTCGGCGTCTCGGGTACAATTCGACCTGCGTTCAGCGCAGACGGCGCGACTATTGTTTGATGTGGATGACCCGCCGTGTTTATTTCGGAAAGTGGACGGGTCTATGGAGGATCGACCGACGGCGGGAGTATTGGGAATGGCTGTTTTCGACGTGACACGACCGACACAACCACGTGCCA